TAACAGCCTGGAAACACACCCTCAGTTCTGCACACTGGAGCCCCTCTGCCACCACCATTCACCACCCTTCCAGTTTTCCTCCTGAAGTTCCACTGCAGGGCAGAAAGGTCACACTGAGTGGGTCGGCAGATGCTCCAGACCACTGTTGTGTGTTTGGGTTTGGTGTGTGTGTGGGTGTGGGTGTGTGGCTGTGTGGGGGGTGTGTGTGTGTGTGTGTGTGGGTGGGTGTGGGGGTGTGTGTGGGTGTGGGTGGGTGTGGGTGTGTTGTGTGGGTGTGTGTGGGGGTGTGTGTGGGTGTGTGTGGGTGTGTGTGGGTGTGTGTGGGTGTGTGTGGGTGTGTGTGGGTGTGGGTGTGTGGAGGGTCCTTGGCAAGGTGCAGCTGCCCCCTCCCAGCCTGAGCCTGTTGCATTAAGGTGAACGTGCTGAGTTCTTGGCGTTGGTGCTTAGGCTGAGCAGCACACACAGGTCTGGGTGTGTGGGCACCTGTGTGGGTGGCCCCATATGGTCTCATGCACACACATTTTTGTGCTTGAATCCATGCCTGAACATGTCTGTGTGTTTATACACATCCATGTACACACACACACAGAGGCATGCAATCATGCAATAAACACTCATTTGCATGCATGCATGCATGCACAACACACACAGATGCCTCTCTCTATCTGCTCTTGAGGGCTCTGATGTGTGTGCACAAACTTTCTGACAGAATGGGTTCCCCATGTCTCTATCACCCCATCTGTGATCACACGTTTGCTGGGAAGAGGATTGCACAATGCTGCTGAAATCATTGCAGCCCTTTCTAGTCTTGCAGCTCTGATCACTACGTGACAAGAATGAAACCTTTTGTGCAGCGCAGGGCTTGATGGAGCCCTTATCTCTGTGTCTCTGCACCCAGAATAGAAAAGCTCTTTTCCATAGCTGACTGGAGCAAATCCCCCCTGAACACATCCAGACTTTCATTTAGCCACTGCACATGGTCCCCATGGCCTCTGGGCTGCCCAGAGTCAACCACAGCATCATTAAGGAGAGAGAGAGGGATCACAATGGCAGTCAGATTAATGCCATTACCACAGACAACTCTGGGGATTCACCAACAGGGAGACAGTGCTGAGGAAAGAGCAGGGGGCAGGAGGCAGTGACCTCCTGATCATCGTTCCAAATGCCTGTTCCTGTGAAAACCAGCCTTTAAATCAGTGGTCATAGTTTGAAAAATTTCGTGGCATTCATTTTCTCCTCTTGAATTTTGGACAAGAAATACCTTTTCCTTCCCCTCCCCCAGTCTTATTTTCTGTTCATCTTCATTTTTTATTTCCCTAATTTGTCACTGCAAAACAGGATACAGCCTAGGGGGGCGAAGAAAACACAAGACAGAAAAACGTGATGCTTGTGTCTCTTTTCTTTTAAACCCCTATTTAATCTAAAGATCTCCAGTTGTTGGGATTTTTTTTTTGCAGATCTCTCTGGAACACATTTTATTTGCCCCAGCAGGCTGCCCTGCAGAGCTGCCTTGGTGGGAGCTCAGATTCCATGTGTCAAAATGATGTCTCTTTGGCACGGTTGCTTGGTGCTGGCATCGCAGTGCTTGGGCTCTTAAGGAATGTTGGTATTTTAAGAAGCTAAGCAGTCGACAGAGTTTCTTGCATGGTGATTTGCAGCAGATGGAGCTGCAAAGGCATGTGAAATGAAGTCTCAGCTCAGTTTGGTGGGGAAGGAGACTCTGTTAAGTGTGTTGGCAGCTGGGGAACTCCCTCCCCCCATCTCCCCACAGCAGCTGGGCTGCCACTCCATGGATAAGGAAACCCATCCTATATCTGCCCCCCATCCTCCTGAACTGCCTCCCGCAAGGTCCTTGATCACAGTCACATGCCTTCTTCGCATGCCTGGTCATCAACCACCAGCAGTGTTACAAGCTCCTCAGACAATACAATCTCTGCTCTGTCCTACAGGGATTGCTCTGCTAGGGGAGTCCAGCATTCACCAGGCTTTGCTCTTCTCTGCAAGAGGAGCAACACAGACCAGAGTTTGAAGTGCTGTGTTGTCCATCTATCTGACCATTTGGTAGTCAGCCCTTTTAATCTTTCCACCACTTGCTGCCCCTTATAGAGGCAGAAGCTTTGGCAGTCCATCCTTATTCTGCCAGGATTTCTTGGTCGTGTTTCATCCAGTGGATATTGCGGGAGCTCCCCAAGAAGGTAAAACAGAGGCTTTTTTTAGTCCAACAAACTTTATCCCATGCCCATGAATAGTTTGGCTGCTTTTCTGACTGGGGCCCATGGTGTGGGAAGCTGATGCATGGATTGAAGGAGAAAAAGATGTAAAGACATAGCAAAAGATAGAAACTGGCTACCAAGCTCTTTCTTTTCCCCATGAGCTGAGCCTGCACTCCTGGGTGTCTGACTGCCCGTGCTCAGGGGAGCGCTGTAAGGGCAGCTGAGCAGTTCCTGTGCGGTCTGGCAGGCAGCTCAGCTCCCGAGGCTGAACCTGCAGGCATGGAAAGCTTGGCACCAGCATCCCAGGCTTAAAGAGGAAACACGAGGATGTAGGATTTCAGGGGACAATCATTGTTGTGGAGGTGGTGGCAGTACCAGTGGCTGAGAGCACAGCTGAATGTGTTTTGGTTGGTTGTGTCTGCAGTCCCTGCCTACCCTTCCTCTGCTCTCTCACCTGGCTAGGAGATGTCTGTTCACCTGACATCCTGTGACAGTCCTTTTCAAAAGCTGGGTGTTCTGCACTGCAGAACACAGTTCTGAGGCCTGCCAGGCCTTCAGGTCTTCTCACATTGCCTTTGTGTGACCTTGACTCTTGCTTCCTCATAAAGTGGTTCTGTTCCCACGATCCTCAGCTGCTGCAGCTTGTTCTACTTCCCAGTCCAGGGCTTTTGGCTTCTGTCCCAGCACACCCAACCCCATGCCACTCCTTCCCTTCTCTTACCTTTTTTCAAGTGACCTGTGAGACATCTTTCCATTACCCAGCCAGCTCCCATAATTGACCCTCCACAAGTCACCTCCTGCAACATCTGCTGACCTCAGGGAAGCATGTGTCCTCCTGGTGGGTCCCTCCTTCCCCTTTCTCAAAATTGTTTTAGAGAAAACCGCCCAAAGGGCTGTGGTATGAGGGTCATTTCAGTGGCTGTAACTTAGCAACAGCATTCATAGAGAAGTTAACAGTAATTTTTACAGACATTTTATATTTAACAGACATTTTAGCAGAGTTGCAGGAATAAAGCCAAAGTGGAGAGGGAGACCTTCATCCCACCCACCCAGCAGTACAGTGTTGCTCCTCTAGCCTGCACACTCAGATGGGCCCATCCACAACTTCCCTCCACCAAGCAGTGTGCAGGAACAAGCACTCATCCAACTGCACAGCAGCACATTTGCTCTCCAACTTTTATCCAAGCACTCACATCTGTACTTAAACATCCTGCAATTACATAAACACATTCCCTCACCTGTGTTTGTGTACACTTACACACATGCATACCCCCTTAGGTACCCTTGCACACATGTGCACACCCCCAGCAGATGAGCATCAGTGCCCAGGACTGGCACCAGCCTCCCACCAGCCCTGACTCCTTGGTTTCTGATCCTCTTCAGCCATCCCCCTACATGTACAGTCCAGGGAATAAAGTTTTGCCTACAACTACCTTTGTGCACATGCAGACACATAATTTGTTCACCATTCTGGGCCAAATACTCTACTGCTTCCTACAGGATAAATTGGTTCCTAGTATTGCCCCGACTCTTTACAACCACAGCTCTCACACACTGGAGATCCCCTGGCCTCTGTCTGCTTCCTGCCCCCATCCTGTACTGAGAGCTGCCTTCACCTCCTGTATCAGTCAAACATGACTCCATGCAGAGATTGAATCAGCTCAAAGATATTGTGTATTCTCAGGAGAGCCAAATCTATAGCACTCCCTTCCCTAAACACGTAGAATGGTTTTGCCCACCTGGCCTTCTAAGTCCAAAGGCTTTTTCTTTATTTATAGTAAAGCTTAAGGAGAAGAAAAGAAATGCTGCCTCCAGCTCATGTCTCATTGTCTTCTTCTCTACTCTTGTTACACCTCCCATCAGGGTTCAGAGGCACCAGGAGAACCCTGAGGAATGCGAGGTGTAGGAAAGAAATGTTCAAACTTTTTCTCCCAGGTAAGTCTCATCATCCTGCCCAGAGTCCAAGCTCTGAAAGGAAAGAGGATGTTTTGAGCAGTCAGTGGTCTCCAGCCAGATCACCACAGGCAGGAAATCTGTTCCCAATGCTTTTCGAAGAACTAGAGGGGGCCAGCCATGCATGCAACTGGCTGGTATGTTTTTGCTCCAGACATTCCTCTTTCCTGTTCATCTTTTAAGGTAGACCACTTCTCATGTTTATAAGTCAAGGCACTGGGTTGCCTACATGTGGTATATGCTATCTGGGGACTTCCTCAAGGTGCCACCATGAGATGGCAGCCTATGCCCTCCAAAGCAGGATCATCTAAGGGCAGATCATCGCTCTAGGGCTGACCTTGTTTCTCTGTACTCTCAGTGCCCATCACCTCTTCAGCTCTCCCTAAATGCAGTCTGCTCTTTACCTGGTGTTGACAGATAAAAAATTGTTTGCTCCTGGTGGCGAATATGATGCTTATTCTTCAAAAGGCCTATGGAACTGCACAATACTTATTCTGTAAGAAGAAGAACTTGAAAGCAACCAGCCCAGTTGTGCCAACTTTTACCAGTTCCCCGGGCAGTCAGGTATGACTTTGGGGTCACCAACCACAGGGAACCACCAGGAGACTCCCAGGACAGAAGAACACATGTGTAAAGGAGAGGGGAAATACATTAATGGTTTTGGAGAAATTAATATCATATGTATGTTTATACTGGGAAAATCAATGAGCATATATGTAAAATATAGTACATAAATGGGAGCTTTTTTTTTGTACTCAGCATGCATGATATTTTGAAGGAGATATCCCCTCACGCATCCAGCCAAATAAAGAATGCCTGCTTCTTAACGCTACATTAGTGTTAGGGAGGTTTTATTTTTTACCAATTTCTGGTAACACTGGTACCACACAAACCTCAGGTGTCTCTTCCAAAGCCAAGAACAATGCCTTGCTTTTTCCACAAGATCATGGAGCCCTATTCATCTTTAAGCCTACTCTTGGACTTTATTATTCCTTTGCATCATCTCCCATTGCCTTTGAAAGCAGAGCAGGTGAAGGGGATCCCATGTCCTGATGTCTCTTTCCCCTGCACCACCCCTTTCATCATAAATAACTGACATGCAACTTGCTGCTCTTTTCGCATCCCGCAGGCTCCTCGGGGAGTGGTTTTTGCTCATTGCTTTTTCCTTCTCCACTGCTTAGAGGGCGCTCCTGCCTGTCGTTTCCGTTCCTGGTGATCTTGCTGATCTCACCCTCTTCCCTTTCATCATCAATCTTCTCTGGGGGGCATGCTGGCACCTCCTGGCTCTGGACTCGGCGGGATGGCCTGAAGATGGCCCTGCGGAAGCCCTGCTTGAAGCGGTAGGAGAGGAAGCCATAGATGATGGGATTGGCGCAGCTGTTGGCATACGGCAGCACCACCACAAGAAAGTAGACTCCAAAGAGGGATGGCTCCTCTGGCAGTGGGCACACAACATTGATTATGTTGAGGACGTAGAAGGGAAGCCAGCAAAGGACGAAGACAGCCACCACAGTCACCACCATGCGGGTCACTCTGCGCTCTGAAAGCTTGTGCTTGGAGGACAGAGCCCTCACCCGCCTGCCAGAGGAGCGAACCTTCACTACAATCAGGAGATAGCAGAGACAAATCACCAGCAGTGGTCCAAAGAAGCCCAGGGTGGCAGTGTAGACGATAAAGCCAGCTCTCCACACTGAGGCAGGCTCTGGCCACTGGATGTGGCATGTACTCATCCCTAAAGGGACATCTGAGAAGACAACCACAGGCAGCACCACTATGGAAGACAGCACCCACACGGTTACACTCACGGCCTTGGCCACCCGTGCTGTCCTCCATTTGGAGGACTTGCCGGGGTGGACCACAGCCAGGTAGCGGTCAACGCTCATCACCGTCAGGCAGAAGATGCTGGTGAACTGGTTGATGGCATCCACGGCCATCACCAGGCGGCACATGAAAGAACCAAACGGCCAGTAGGACAGGGCATTTTGTGCAGCCAGGAAGGGCAGGCCCAGCATGAAGAGCTCATCAGCTAGGGCCAGGTTCAAGATGTACACGTTGGTCACCGACTCGCTCACGGAGTGCCGTAGGACTACATAAATGACCAGGGAATTCCCAGCCAGCCCCACCACACAGACAATGAGGTAGACCACGGGGATGAGGACACCGCTGACAACTACACCAGGGCTGACAGTGGAGGAGCTGTTGGGGGTAGTGAAGCCTGCCCAGCTATTGGAGGCATTCCCCTCCTCCAACACTGCCGGTGTGGGGAGGCTAAAAGCAGAAGTGTCCATAGCAGAGGCAGGGAAGAGGGCAGGGGGCAGTGTCCTTGCAGGATCAGTTAGCAATCTGGAGCTGAAGGGAAGAGAAAAAAACCATTGATACTGGGGATATGACAGCTGAAAAAGCCACAGGTAAAATCATCATGTTAACTGTGTTAGGTATAGGCATGGGAAATCAAGGGGAGTTGTGGATGCTAGCAGATGCTAGAAAATCTAGGACAATATCAAACCCATCTAGGCCTGCAAGGCACAGTGCACATGGAGGGACAAACAGGGCTCAATGTGGGCCCCTCCTCTAGCAAAAGATCCTCTGGGGAAAGAACAACAGACTGGCATAAGGACAGGGAAAGTTTTCATTTTCTGCTAATGGTTCCAATACTGAGGACATGGTCACCAGGGGCCTGGTTCTCATTTATGAGTGGCAGGTGCTTTACAAGCAAAAGAGGGAAAAGCATCCATTGACAAAGTGCCTTTCCAACTCTGACTTTCCTATTCTCTGAGTATTTATTCTCCTGCTTGCTGAAGCTCTTTTTGGACTGGCCAGGTTATTGTTAGCCCCACAGGAGAAAGAAAAGCACTTTTAATCCAAGCAGAGAGGCTTAGCTCAGCACCTGAGCTGAGGGGCAGCTGGTTTGTGTTATGCCAGTTTGAGAGTAAAGGAAAGATAATTTTGGGTACACCAAGAGGGATCAGTCCAGATCCCTCTTGTCTCTTTTTCTCCTGTTCTCCCTGCCATTCTCTTCCTCCCCTTCCGCATGCTGCAACACACTGCTAATGGCAGAGGCTTTGCCTACCCCACCTGTTTGCAACCCCAAAGCAGTGTCCCAGCCTCCCTAAGCTGAGGAGCCCAGTTGTGTGTCACACGAGGGTTTGGCATGGAAACAGCACTCAGCTCACTCAGAGACAGCCTTGAGCAAACAAGCTCTCCATCCAGCACCAGCTCGCTGCTGACACTGGAGAGGAGCTGCAGGGAGAGAAGGGACAGTTAAGGGACGGACGTGCCTTTTGTCAGGGCTCCATATGTGAAATACAGAGCCCAGCACGTACTGTGGACCAGAGACACCCTGGAAACCTAATGCAGGGGAGATTTGTGTTTCTTTCAGGATTTCTCCAGCTCTGGAAAAATTTCTGGAGGTGTGGACTGACAGGGTTATCCCCCTGAATTAGGTCCTTGGAAGGGAAGATGACTTGGTGGAAGTGAATGGGGACATTAAGGCTCACCTTTTCACATCTCAACAAATCTCTTAGGGCTCTGAAGCTTCTTTTTCTATTGAAATTTAAACTGAGGATGTCAAAGGAAAGGACTCACAACCTTAACGACATTCAAGAGGCCAGAGACACTCCAGAGACTTTTCTCTCAGATATGATTTTCTGTAGCACCACAACTTTCTTCACAAATGTCTAATATTACAGTATCTGGTGTTTTTTTGTTTGGTTGGGTTTTTGTAACTTGCTTTTTTGTTTGTTTGTTTTGTAGATGCCATTCTAAGTTCTGGAATGGGGAGACCTGAGCTTTAGGATTCCTTGAACACCAGACAGGCAAACCCAATAGACCCCACAGATGTATTAAATTTTACACTGAAGGAACCTCATCTGAGAGGCCCCATAAAAACACAGTTAAGCAACTATATCTTAAGGCCATTTCTACCGCCTATTGTATAAATGTTTCCTGCTTTAGAGCATTTGAGCTTTGAATGACTGGGATTGTTTAGATTTTTTTAAATTTCCAGGTGCCTTGGGCTGTGACACACTGTCCTGCAGTCCCACACATCATGAGTGGCTGTAATGAATGAGCCGAATAGGAAGTGATTTGAAACTATAAGTTAAAGGCTGTTTCCTCTGAGATTTTTTCCAATTCTGTTCTAGTGACACAAATCACTTGTTGGAAAAAATAGGAGGGCAATGGCTGCTCTAGGGACAAAGATCTCCAGAAAAGGTGGCAGAAGCCAGAACAGTATGTTCATAAAAGGATGATCTTCTGAAAGATGATCACATAGACAGGAATCTCTTTGCACGTTCCTCCTGCATGCAAAGGAGTTTAAGGAAGAAAAAGGCCAAACATTTGGAGCCTTACAAATACCAAATATGGATGGAGATACTCCTGGGGAGCTGTAAAGCATTGGAGAAGTGTCTGGGATCCAGACCTCAAAGCCAGCTGTTCAGAGTGTTGCTTAACAACACAGTAAATCCAGTTTCAGGGTAGCTTCGGAAGCCCTATCAAAAATGCTAAGATGTGCAACAAAAAGCATGGATTTCCTATAAACTCATTTTCCTGCTCAGGCAGCTGCAGGGGAGAAGCTTGATCTTTAAGCAGGTGCGGTCTGTTGCTGCCATTCTAATTTTGTCAAGTACCACGGGCCAGCTCAAATGTCACACATTTTGGCTAGTTTGGCAGAAAAAACACTGGGCACCAGTGCTCCATCTAGTTTGGGTCCACTCTGCCGGTGGCTTTGGCAGCACATGCATAGGTAGGAGTTGGTGAGGAACACTGGCCTCAGACTGACAGTGTGCTGGAATCCAGTTGGATCTGTTCCTGATGTGCACAGCACCTGTTGCAAGAGGCTTGGGATCCTCTAACAGGTGCTACCAGAATATGCCTGGTTCATGCAGCTGGAGAGCAGGAAGAGGCAGAGAGGTAGGAGGAGATGGGAAATTGGCACTACTTCTTTCCTTAGGTTGAAAAAGATAAGTATATATATATACGTATTTCTGCATTGAATGAGGAGGAGGTGGATGCTGAAAGCTGAGGCTAGTCCTGGTAACAAACCATGAATAGCAGCTGGGAGGGACAACAAAGCCAAATAACCTGCACCACCTCTCTTGACCCCCTCCCCTCCTGTCCCCCCGGTTTCCCACGGCCCTGCTCCAGCTCAGGACTCTCCCGTCTCACCTCGGGGCTGAGCTCTCCCGTAAGGACCAGGCTGGACTGGCAGAGTTGGAGGGTCGAGAGCGAGGGGTGGTCGGCAGGTTTTCTTCTCTGGAACTGCAGACTTAACTTCTGCGTGGACTCATGCCCGCGGGAGACATCCGGGAAGAGCGGCCAGAGCCGCCGGGTACTTACATGTCGTCGGGATGTACATTTTCCTCCGCTTCCCCGGGAGAATCCGTGTCATGCTTTTCCCCTTCCCCTTTCTCAAACGCGACAGAGCAAAGCGCTCCCGTGGGGAGCGAGCCCCGCCGGGCGCTGCCGGAGGCTCGAGTCCTTCTGGCCGGGCTTGCCCATCGCCCCCGCCGTGCCTGGCGCGGGAGGGGGATGCGGGATGGGGATGCGGGATGGGGATGCGGGATGCGCGGCCCCTCAGCCCCACGGCCCCGTGTCTCTGCCCCGAGCAGCCCCCGCCATCCGCGGGCTCGGGCAGAGGGAGCGCAGCGCCGGTACCGGGCGCCGGGAGCCAATGGGTGCCACGCACGGAAACACCGGCAGGAGAAGGAGGAGAAGCAGGGGATGGACGGCAGGGCAGGAGAACAAAGATGAGCGGGGGGAGATACCGGGATGGAGAATAAAAGCGGGAGAGGGAGGCGCAAGGAGATGGGCAGAAGGATGAGGGGAGCGCAGAAGAGGGGAGGATGAAGGAATGAGGAGCGCGGTAAAAGAAGCTGAGGACAGTGAGGAGAAGAGGGAGAGGAAGAAAAGAGGGATTCAGAGAGCAGCGATGTGGTGGGAGAGTGGCACGCAGGAGGGGGCGACTCGGGTCGGCTCTCCTAGGGGAACCCAGGAGACGGGCTCCTGTTCCAAAGGTCTTGCAGGCAGGACTGGTGCTGCTCGCAGCTGCAGACACACAGAAAATCCTTCTGTCTGGCAGGGTGCTCAAAAATCAGGTGGATGTTGAGCACACAAACCCTTCTCCCTTCTGTTCTGCCCTGTGAGCACCTCCAGATGGATGGAGATGAGGGCAGATGGGCAGATAGGGGACTGTCTCTTTCATCTCTTTCCCGTTCCCTAGCTCCATACATGATCTCTTGTCTTTTGCACCTTCATTGGGAAAATGTTCCAGTTTAACAGCCCCAAACCTTCCTACCAAATTTAATCTCTGCTGGAAGGCATAGACCCAGAAGAAATGGATCTAAGAAAGAAATTAATCTTTGTGAGAGCAGTTGTCCCATGAAGGATTTTCCATCCCATTCCCTGCACAAAGGGCTTCCCTGTCATTCTCACCCCCGTTCCTGCCCTGCAGCCAACATCAGTGACTCCTTGTACTGTGCATCACCCAGTTCTTGACATTTGGCACTCCTATTGTGAACATTTGAGCCCCTAGGGTAAATTCCAGCTTTAACAAAAGAAAGCAGTGTCTCTGAGCACAACAAAGCCAGGGTCCGGCATCCAAACCTACTTGGGGAATTTAATATACAGCCAGTTCTGCTCAAAGGTGAGCTGATGAAGGCAGTACAGGACTTGAAAGCTGCCAGGCCTCTTTAGACCAGAACTTGGCCACAATGATGTCTGGAGACACAGAAGAGAAAGGAATCCTCATTGGGAAAGGAACTGCATGGGTAGCACCCAGAGGTTTTCTTTACCATGGCAGGGCAGGTGTCTGTAGCACCATGAAGAAGGCCCCAAGCTCCTTTGTTAGAAGAAACAGCCATGAAACAGCAGAGTTCTACACAGGCCTGCTAACCTTGCATAAACACAGCCATAGCATCACAAATTCCAGGTCTCCAGCTCACTTCCTGAATGCTCTAAGGTGTCCCATTCTCTGCCTCAGCTCCAGTGGGGGGCTGTGCAAACTGCTTAAATTGTGTTGGGAGGAGAGCTCAGCCTGTGCATCTCCCCAGGTAGGCAGATACATGAATTTTGTTTCACACACATCATATGCATTGCTGTCTGTTACAGGGGGTGGGGCAGACTGAAAAGGTAAAAGCCAAGGCTTGAAAACTGGAGAGAAGTAATAAACCACTGGGAATATATTGCCTTGAGTCATGCTTAGGATGCTTAAAGGAGGTTAGATACCATTTTCAAGTACTTTGTGTCCCTCGCCCTTTCACAGGTATATGCCCATACCAGAGGCTTCATTTTTACTCTTCTGGACTCACTGACACAATTTGTATTACCTTTGGGTGAGGCCTGGGAAATTCATCCAGCAGCCCACGTGCAGTGCAGGTATTTGTGGAACTCCCTGTCACAGGGTGCCTGCCAAGGGTTGCTCTGAACTTTATCAGTAGGAAATGTGTCACATCACTGAATTGACTGCCTCATTCAGATCTGACTGTGAATTGGAACTGCAGAAATCTCCCTGGCAGCAGGGTACCTCAGGAGCTTCCCTGTGTCTGGCTGCACCTGGCATCACCAATGCTCTTCCTCAGTGCAGGAAGCAGCCTTTGAAGCTCAGAAGTGTTGCTGCATCCAGGAGCAGTAATCTGGCTCAACTCCATAGTTTCTCTGTGCCCTCCTAGGACTGCAGGATTTTGCAGTGCCAATCATCACACCCTGAGCCCTCCCCTCTCCTGCAAGTAGTGGCAGTAGCAGCCACCCTTTAACACTTCCTCTGAAGTCCCTGCAATGCATCAGGAAAGCAGGTGCTCACAGCTGCCAGATCCATGGTACCGCTGGGACCACTCTCTTCAGCTTAATTTTAGTGTCTTGGAGGCAATTTGTCTGGGCTGGTGACTCATTCCTCCCTTTTAATTTTTTTCCCTGCCCTCCCCCTTCCTATTCTCACTCTGCCTGTGTCTGGCAGTGTGAGAGAGTGCCAGAGCTTAGAAGGATTAATGCAGCAATGTTTTGGTGAAAAGATGTCCCCGGCAACCTGCGGGGGCAGTCCCCAGGGAGAGGAGTCTGCATCCAGGTGTCCCCTCCCAAAGCCTGCATCCCATCCTCTGTGTGGCACAGAGGGGAGACAACTTTTCCTTTCAAAGCATGGATACTCAGAAGAGGAAAGGCAAAAGGAATGAGGGTGGCTCAGGTGAGAACTCAGCACCTTCGCAATCATCCTCAAGGGCCACCAGGCTCCCCGTGGGGCTGCCAGAGGAGGGGCACAGCTGGGCAGTGCCTCCAGCCCCACAGCCCCATTGCTCACGGCTCCAGGGCTGTGTCCCCCGAGGTGCAACACATCACGGACATGACACAAATGTACAGTCTGTTTATTACTGTCTTATTCACTACATTGTAACCTCAAGGCCCTGGAAGGAAGGGAAGGGGCAGCTGGGCAGGTGAGGCAAGAGCGGGGACGTTGTGTGAACATCAAACCAGTGCTACAGACCCACAGCAGTCTTTCAAGCCGGCAGAAGGAAAAAGAAGGAAAAACCCCAAGGTGCTGAGCTCTGGGCTACTGGAGTCATCACTCTCCTGTGTGCTGGGCAGCTCCTGGTATCAGGATGAGACCGGGATCTATAGCCAAAAACATGACAGACCTCATAATACCAGCTCAAATATTTTCCTGCTCTCCTTCCCTCTGCTCTGGTGATGGTGGGAGTATGAATGGACAGGGTCCAAACTAGCAGGCTCTCACTCTTCTCTCTCATCAGGCTCTGACCAGCTTTGACTCTTGTCCTGAGGCCTCTCTCCTCCCTCTGCTGCCCTGTACTGAAGTGGAGGCAGGTAGAGACAACATGAGGAGTAAAGGATTCCTGTAGGAGAAGCTGCCACTTGCCAATGAACAACATAAAAAAACCCCTTTAGGTGAGCAGGGCTTGGTAAGAGGAAGGGCCACTGGCAACTGCCATGAATAATGAACAACTTTTTCTTTTCCTTTTTTTTTTTCCTACAGGCAAAGGCTATGGCCTCATAGTTCTCAGGGCAGGTCATCCCCAGGGCAGCCTGGATGTAGTTCCCTCTGCAGCAGAAGCTGACAGACAGTTCTTCTCTGTAAGGGCACATGTGGAAAATCCTAGGCTGCCCCACATCAAGAGATGGGAACAAACTTGCCCACAGTCAAGCAGAAAGGAGGGGGAAGTTGATCCTGGGTGCATCATACTACATCCTGTCCTTTCCCCAAGCAGGATCAGCTTCTCCCTCTCTCTCCTTGAAGGTGACCCATTCCAACAGCCTCACCAGGAACAGAGTGGCCCTGACTGGGTTCAGGAGCAGGAAAGCACCACTGGTGTCCCTCCCAGGGATGCCTGTCAGACTTACTTGCTCAGAGGAGGCTGCACGCCCGTTTCTTTGTCCGGGTGGGCTGCGGGCACAGGACGGCTCGGATGGCCTCATCAAACACCGTCTTGAGGCCTCGCTGCGTCAAAGCCGAGCACTCGAGGTATTTCACGGAGTCTGTCGGGAGGAAAGCAGGTGTTGCACTGGGGGGGAAGGCAGCTGGGGTAGGCAGTGGGGATACCCAGGTTTCTGCTCCTTATGCTAGAAGCACAGCACCTGGCTCCTGCCCAAGCTGAATAAACACATCTCAGGTGATCAAAGACATTATACATTGTCAGGACACATTTCACTCACTTAGACAGTCTTGACTTCAGGGCAAAGCTTGCCAGCTGCACTAGACCTAGGTTTGCCTACTGGCTACCCATGTAGCCAGAGCAGAGCCATTTTGTGAGTCTGACCATGTCATCCTGGCCAGACATTCCCCCTGCTGAGCTCCTTCTTGGAAACTCCCTCAAGCTGTGTTTCTCACCCTCTCTCCCATTTCTGTGTGCCACAGATGAGAAGAGCTGGATGGTGGGGTGAGACACCCATACCTGGGATTGTACGTATACGCCCCAGCAGACAGAAGCAGAGACAGGAAACTACAGTTGCAGTTCTTCCTGAGAGTGGTTAAAAACCTCTCTTCTGCCTCTCCGGATATGGAGGAGTGGCCTCTACCCACTGTGCAGCTATGGCTTGCACAGAAAAAATACTGTCCCAGATAGAAGTAAGCAGAGTAAAAGGGGAGGAGAATGTGAAAGTGTGTGGTTATGTGTTTATGTGGAGGATGATGGCCAGAGAAAGGCAGAAAACAGAGAGCTGAGGAGTTGAGCCTTCCTCAAGAAGCAGATTTCCTTCCTGAGTCTCCTGAAGTGCATTTTGTCCCATGACCCTGGATGTGTCTCCTTGTGTCCCTCGGAGACACCACTGTGTGATACCACCACAAAAGCCTTGTTAAATTGAGGTGAAGCCCTTTTCTTCTGCCTCTCTCCTTTCAGTAGGTCCAAAATTATTCCCAAACACATACCTATTTCCTTGGCCAGAGCAAGACCCTGAGGATACGTTATGGGGGATAGCTTCTTCTCCTTCAGCTTCTCAATGGTGTCCTTGTCATCTCGGAGATCCAGCTTTGTGCCCACGAGGATGATGGGGGTGCTTGGGCAGTGGTGCCGCACCTCAGGGAACCACTAGCAAGGCAACAAAA